GGGACTCTTACTGGCTAAAAACCAACACGTTCCTAATTCTGCTTCAAGCCGAAGCCCCGGTGACCCACTAGGTTATTCATAGTAGTCGGGCATCTGTCCCGCTGAGCCATCTCGATCTAAGGCGGTCTGATCTGCACTTTGAAGCACGCGCGTAACGCCACGCGCCTTACAGGTACAGGTTTGGTTCTGGGCGGCGATCTGTTCTTGCTACTATGACTGCTTCGCAGAAAGAGATGTTTTCCAGTTCCCCTCGCTCCACACCACAGCCAGAACCTAAGCTGGACGTGGAAGATTATCGTCATCGATCACTTCCCTGAAGACACGGCAGTGGTCAACATATACAGGGCATAATGCTACTCTATCCTCTGGGTGGACTTCGCTGTGACGACACCAGAATACAGCTGGAGGAAATGCCCTCTACTGCTGAATTCTGATATCGGATGCGACGCCTGGTACTGTAGGTGTACTTTTGCATCTTCGGTCTTGATGCCCACCAGATTTTAGAATATGAACGCCTAAAGATATGGCGGAATTGGTGATGCTCTTCGTGAATTAGCGTCTGTTGTTACCAAGTATTAGCTATAACTAAGTTTAGTCTATAGGTGACCTTTATAAATTGGAAAACAAAATACAAATCAGGTATAAATGTTTTAAAAATATACTACAGATGTGCCCATTGTCCCCATACGGGGACACCATCATTTTTTCTAACTTTCCCCTAAGCGGAATTGAAAGTATAAGGATATTCTTCAATATTGTTTTAATTGACACTATAAGCAAGCAATAATCACAAAAAAGTTTTATAAATCTTCATAATAACGTAGTACAAAACGCCTCTGCTTTCGATAATAATTCCCATTTCACTTCCTCTTGATAAAATTGACAATTTGACCCCTTTTTTGTAGCAATTTGTCAAAAGTTCTAATAATTTTAGGAAAGTACACTACTCCTCATTATAAATACCCATGAAATGTGAAGATAGCTAAAATAATTAATAACCAGCGGGTAAAAGAAAACCTGTCCCCATATGGGGACGGCGGATCCAAATGGGTTAATAAGCAGTAGAGACAGTCGGATGTATGACACCGAGTTACGTATCAAAAAACTAAACTCACATTTTGAATCAGATATCAAACACGTGTTCTTTTACAGGGGTGTCTGCACGATACCATTGTAAAAAAAAGACAGTTTCATAGTAGCGTTCAAGGGTTTTTTCCTTCTACTTAAAAAAAGTTAAGTAGCGCCACTCAAAGCCATGTGTGTCTGCAAAAACATTTGAACTGCTGCTTCAGATATTGTGCATATCTCTTTGAAGTAAACCGAGAGTGTTTAGTTCCTATGACTTTTAAACTTTGCAACGATAAAAAAAGTAGAACATTTCATTGAAAAGTAAAAAAAAGACTGTTGCTACCCAAACAAATTCTTTTAACTACTATTTTTTTTGTATTCTGTGGAGAATGTCGTTGGTTATACATTTATTCTATACTTTGATATTTGTTATACTGTATTATTGTAGTGTGTAATTGTTACTTTTCTCAAATGAATAAAATAAAAATAAAAAACAAGAACGTGTATTCAAGAAATATGCCTTATTTAGATGTCCATAGACGTTCTCTTCAATAAAAAGGAATAAATGTGAATAGGACAACTTAAACACAATAATGTATAATACAGTATCAATTACTTATCGTGAAGTGCAAGTAAACGAGGCTGAACCAAAATAATCTAACGAAAAACTGAAGCCAATGAGATACCATCATCAAATTTTATACAACTGCCACTCAATTCATTAATGAAAAGTCTTACACTCTTCGAGTATAATCTATCCACTAAATAAATAAGCGTGTCCATTCTAACTCATAGCATATCAATAACATTGACATTCGATCCGAAACAAGGATCATATTACACAAAAATTAACCATCAATTGAACTATAGGATCAATTCTTATCAAACTGATGTTTCGTCACACCACTCAAGCAACAAACCATAATAACATGTTCGGTCATAAGAGGGATCGTTACGACTCGTTGAGCAGTTCTAAGACCCCTAGTGGGCTTCCAACAGTCCTCAAATTGTTATGTTGCTAATAAAAACTCAATTAGTGTTATTACATCCAAAATGATACTAGTATTGTTAGCCTTCTGACTCTAATTGGGTAACATTGAATATAATATGAACTTCTAATTGGATGATTATGAAAAGAATGGAAAACTATTTATTCTTTTAAATTTTTCAGCGCGTTTTGTATTGGATATTGTTGTTTGAATTTTTTAATGTAGGTATACTTTACTCTAGTTTTTCTTAGTTTTTTAAAATATTTCCATATATAGAGGTAAGTACACACTTAACTTCATTTTATTTTAAGACAGCTCTTTAACTTGTTGATATCTTCCACTGCAGCAAAATTTCACATACCTACATGTAACATGACGCTTTTCGTCCCCGAAGGAGTAGGCAGAGGTGCACATTATGGCACTTAATGCCACTGTACTACGTAACACCCACTTTTCACTACCTACTTTTATGTTATGAGTCCCATGTAATAGGAAGTAAGCCTATTGCCATATACTGGGCACAATTTCAGACTCCGTACTACCACTGAGAATTTCTTTAAAACCCAGTAATGCATTGCCCGACCCGAGAATCGAACCCGAGACCCCTTGCCCGGCAGTAGCACTTGCGACTACTCGGCCAACGACGCAGGCAAAATTTCACTGAATGACCTAATGACCTTTCCATATTTATGAAAGCTTTATAAATAGGTTTAATTACCGTCGCTAAAAGAAACCGAACGAGACTAAAAACGTCCAAAAATAACACATTTGGGTGTTCATAACAGGCACGTCTATAGAAAAAATGAGTACATTATCATCTACTTGGTCCACGCAAACAAAATTTGAAAAGCAACTCCGCAGGGCTGAATGAAGATTGATAAATCGTTGTTGGGTCCAAAACGTCCTTGGGGGACCCCTGTGGTATTTTTCAATACGCAGCTGAGCTCTTAGGTAAATAAACCTGTCGGCAGTTGCAAAATTTCAGGAATCCTCTCGTGTTTGGGGTCGAAAACTGTTTCATTCATGACTATCTTGAAATTCATGCTGCGATTCATGTTTCTTTTAGTTTTAGTTTAATCAGTTATAAAAGGATTATATTTTTTTCTAGTAAGATTTTGTTTTAAATTGTCTGTTGATGGAAGAATCGGCCTATAGTACTGACTAATCAACCAACTAACTATAGTTGGTTATATAAATATCCCTTATCTCTTTTATTTTAATTTCATAGTGTTCTCTCTCTTGTTTTTACTTAACGCTAGCTGAAATTCCATGTCTTGTAATTATTATAAATACACTATACTAAGCAAGCTATTGTGTTTTCTGTGTTTGAGTAAATAAATAAACTAAATAAAAATTGTTATTGCTATGGAAATAGTACATTCATCAATAAAAAGTATGTACTACGTACCGTAACAGCTGTAATATTTTTTAAAAATTCTATTCGTGTACCTAACTCTCTGTAATCGGCAATAAATGTTTTGAGTTGATCCATATAACCGTTATTCAAATGAAATGTTATTTAGGCAATATTAGCAATAACATGTTCAACCAATTCGATATGCGAATTAATATTCCCGGAATAGATTTAAACTTTGAAACTCATCCACATAGTACCTATTCAATTTTGTCTTTGGATTATTACAATTGTATTTACATTTCATACTGTTTTCTCCAATGTCAATATTCTAAATTAAAGTTCATTTAATGACATGTACACCTTTGACAATGGTGACCTACTGCTTTGTGAAAGAACAGGATGACGTTGAAAATAAACAGTTATTTATTAATAACTAGCTGTTTCTCTCTGCTTTCACCTTCCCTGGACGTCCATGAACATTTCAAGACCAACATTATTTAAATCGGTTCAGCCGTCCTCGAGTTTGAGCGAGACTGACGAGCGGGAATTCATTTTTATTTATATAGATTTTGATTACGTTTGACACCTAGCAGAATACATAC